CCTTTTCTTAGAGGATGTTTAAAAAACCTTATGCTTTTTAACATTTTCTGGAAAACAAACCACCTGCCACCTTTTCAAAAGGAACTATTGCATTTACTAGCTGCCATTGTGGCTAAGCAGGGTCCCCATGCCTTCGCCCCTCTACATGCAAGGTATTAACACCTGCTGGATTTCACTAGAATTGCAGTTTCTCTTCCTATCCTCAGCAGATGCATTCTAGACACCGTGACATATGGTTCAAGCAGGGTCTCAAAGGCTCAAGTCAGCACTGGGCATTCCCAAACTTGGGGTTGTTGGCAAGCAGTCAGTACCTACTTGTCTGTCTTTCTAGGCCAGACTCCTCCAATATAATATAATCTGTCTAATCAAGGCTGGCTGCTATTCCTGGCTGTGCTGCATGCTTCCTGTGTGACCTTGGGCCAGCCACTGCTCCTCTGCCTGCCCACCTCCCAGGGGCTCACGAGGATCCCATCATTACTGTTTGCCAGGTGCAGTCATGAGCCCCATGGAAATGCCTATAAATAACAGCTTCAAACTAAGCATCGGGGAAGTTCGGGTTAGAGCCTTGCGACTCTCTCTGGCCCTGGCAAGCACTGGAAACCGGGCTTGGCTGCATGCGAGCCCTCACCTACTTCACATCATAGCTCTAGGAAGAGACTGAGAGAGCTGCCAGCTAGGTCAGAGCTTGGTCTGAGGAGCCAGCCCTCCTCAGGCTTTGAGGCAAAGCTTGCACAAGTTTATGTATGGAGAGGACTTACATTATGGCTGTGAACATGTAAATGATTTATTATTCATGTTTCTCCCCATCCTAAGCTAATGTCCCTGTAATATCCTTGAAGCATGTTTCAGTGGGAAGGACTCAGCATCTCTTAGGACCCAGGGCTGAAGGGCAATAAGTCTGTTGATTATGTGTGGAGCAGTACGAGTCTCCAGACTGTGCTTTGTGCCAGAGCTGTGTGCCTCAGGCGAGGAGCGCCCGGAGGAATGGCGCAGGGTCTCTGGTGCTGCTCCCCAGCTGGCTCACAGCTTTCTGGAGCTCACCAGTGCCTGGGTGGGCACCTGGGAGGTCTGCACTGGCCTCGGCACTGGTGGAGCACAGCTCAATTGCCAGGGAGCAGATTAGCTATTTCACAACAGAAAAGAAATGAAAAGGTGGAGGTCTTCTCATAATCACTGCAGTTGGGGCTTGTTTGCTTTTATTGTGCCTTGCAGACTTGTTTGGAGAGCCAGCAACAAAGTGACTTAGGGAAAACAGAGAGAAAGGAAAGACTGTGAAGCAGAGAGGGTTGACTGGAGGAAATAGCAAGCAAGCAAGCGTGAGTAATACAGGCATTAGAAGTGCTTTATAATTAGTTTATAAAAGCTCTGTTAACATCGGCAAAGCACTTTCTACTAAAAATCTTTAATAAAAATGCAGCAATATTTGTAAGCATGGTACGTTTTCCATTTAATTCTGTTAAACAGCTCCAAGAACAGCTTCTAAGCAATGCATTTCCCTCCTTTCTGAACACCCCATTGTCTGGGCAGTTTAAAGCACTTCAGCTTTGCCTCCCTGCCTTAAAACTCCCTGGTGGAAACCCCTGTTTGAGGCGGTTCCAAACCATCGGGCTGGCCCTCCCACTCAAGTAGCAGCTGGAAATTTCCTGCTGCTGGAGGAGCAGCCAGCTGCAGTCACCTTCTCTGCAAGAAGAGTTGATTAATCCGTTGACTATACTTGTGGGTTACAGAAGCTGCACCTTGCCCTCACAGATTTATGGTTGACTCACTGGAGCAATGCCTAGATGGGGAGAAGTGGCCATGAAATGAGCTTGGAGATGGCAGCTTGCCCAGTGGAGGTAATGCCGGAGAGGTCAGCCCACAGGGATGTTGGTACATGTTGGCCGAAACAACAGATTTGGTTATATGAGTGAAATGCAAATTGCAGGGCACTGGTCAAGACAGTTTGGATGTCGTCGCTGCATAAATGTGTCCCACTCAACTGTGCCCGAGTCTGTAATTATCTGGAAATGAAATGTTTAGAGTAGAAAGCATCCCTAGGGTTGGGTTTTCTTCCTTCCAATTTTACTTCTTGTTTTTCACACGGGAAGAACAAAGTCTGGAAACCATGTTTAAGCTTAACAGAAGCAAAGGTCTAGCCAGACTAGATTTTAATGTGGCCAGGGTCCCAGCATGAAAAGAATGAGGTTTATCAGCTTGTTTGATTGTGGGCCAAGGCATGGACACGACTGAAGCACATGGTGCCAAAAGAGTCTGTGGTGGGGATTAGCTTGCTGAAGTTTGGAAGTTTCACAGTTTGGGCCAACCATCTTTAGTGTTTCATTTGGAAAGCCTAAAGCTTAATTGCTGTGTTGGAGAGGAAGTAGGTGCTCCTGCTCATCTGGGCAGGAGTTACCTCCCGAGTGTAACACTCTCCCAGTTCACACTCTGTTTATATGACCTGAAGAAAGAGACTTTTGCCATATGAATAGTAGAGGGCTTGGGCCAAGATTTTTAACTAGGAAAGAAAACTCTTATGCATTTATATTCATTTTACATTTGGCAAAAATGACTCCCTGACCTTCTCCTAGGGGCTTTTTGAGTTGTTTGTAACATTTGATTTATTAAGGATTAGCTTCAGTAGGAGAAATCTCAGTTAGATGCTTGGATGAAGCCAAACAGGGTTTAATTCCGAGAGGCAAATATTTCCCGATGATTTACTTACTAGATTCATTCTTTTAATTTTCCATTTGCAGATTGCCCATGAGCAGATTGCAATATTCCCAAATTGTGTTATTGGAAGTTATTCACCCATTCAATAAGCAAATATTTCTTGGTCCAGAATTTGCTTCTGAAATTGCCAGGGCTCCTACAGCACTGGGTGGTTTGAGCAGCCATGTGGACAGCGCTGAGATGTTTGGTGTGTTGGCTACAGCAGAAGCTGTGATCATTACAGTCAAGTAGTTGGAGCCATGTACTGTGTTGGCGAGTTATAACCCCACGGGGACACAAACAGATGTGATTCCCTGGGATGCAGCTAACCTCTGCCTGTGCCACGCAAATCGCAGCTTTTACAATGCACTCCATTAACTGGTTTTTGCCAACATTCATGTTTTTGCCAAATTAATTTTTTGCCACATAGTCGTGATTTCACTACTAGCCAGTAGTCCTGCGGCACAGATGTGTACTTCGGATGTGGAAAGGCTGCAAGCACACTGAAAGCAAGTAGTTATTTAGAGAACAAAATGTCCCTGGTGTTTGCTCAGCACTACTTTAAACAAATAGACAAACAAAGAGGAAAAAATTCTACTTAAAAGAAGCACTAACACTGTCCTCTATATTCCTCCTCCCTGGGGAGACTGTGGGATCAAGCCACACATGATGGACATTAGTGGGGTCACGCAGGGTGCTGCTGGACAGTGTCAGGGTAATGTGGGGTCATGAGGTGATAGGGAGCTACACAGAGCTGAATAGAGAGCAGAGGGAACAGATCTTCATTTACATTGCTGTGTGTCCACCTACCAGCTAAGCCAAATGCTCTTCCTGTGAGTGTGCCTCTTCTAAAGACCTCTTGGATTTCACCTTGGCCAAGCCAACTGAGTCCGTAATGAAGTTAAAGGCTGGGTGATTGCCGCTAGCTAAGTGCTTGGTCCAACATAGACAGGATTTTATCTGCAGGCATTTTGCTTCTGGCTCTCAGCCTGATCTGGTCCAAGAAAGGAGTGAAACCGAAGCTGTCCGAGCCATCTTTCTTTGTGGAGGAGCACACTGAGTCCCTGTAAGTTTGTTTTGAGATTGTTGCCTGCCGATGTGTGCTTTGCAGAACAGGAATGAGTCACATGAGGATCATTCTGTATCCAGCAAGTTACTTCTCCTTTCAACTCTCGATTCCCAAACAGAAGATCTTATGACAAAGAAGAAAGGCAGATTCCTGGCAGCCTGGAAATGCTTTTTCCTCCCCTGGCCCCGTGAGAAGAGCTGTAGTATGTTGTTCAAACAGGCTGATACAAAGCGAATGAACAGTGAAAGAGAGATGGGCAGTTTCTGTAAATAGCAACGTGCTGGCCAGAGAAGAGAAGAGGGGCGCGAGAGCGCGGGTGCTAGAAAGCAGCTGAAGAACAAGATGTTCACGTAAAAGCTGTTTGTTTCTTCACAGGACACACAGCCTGATACTACCTTGCCATTAGTCATGGCCTGGAAAATATGAAGAAACTTGTGGGAGTTTCACCTTCCAGCCAGACTTCACAAGAAGCTTTTGTCTCTGCACCAGCAGGCAACTCTTCCAACCCTACACATTCCTCCCCCAGACCATTCAGATGCTCAGAAGCCATGCCAGTGGGCAGGTGGGGCACCTCCAGGTAGGGTTTGGCAAAGGCAGGTTGCAGTTACAGGATGTACAAGGATCAGGAAATAGTGAATGTGGTCACCCAGCTCTTACACAGCACTTAATAGGAGAGGATCAGCATTACTGTCCAAGTGCTAAGTGAATGTACTGGCCACGCTTGTTAAAAGACCAATGTGGTGTCAGACAGTGCACGAAATAGCTACCTGCTTACATGGATTGAACATTGACTATTTGTTTAATGCTTGGTATCTGCTTGGCCAAATCCCACCTGAGTAGTCGAATAAACCGGGCTGTGCTAAGTAGCGTGATGGCACTTAGGGAGAGAGTTAAGCGAAAGAGAGCAGCCGCAGGAGAGGGGGATTCGCCCCTGCTGAAGGAATCTTGTGGGAATGGAGGCAAATTTTGTCCTAAATTTTGCATTTTGGCCCTGAAGTGGATGTGGGTGCAATAAATTAATGATGTGAGGAGCAACAGAGGAAGGGACTTAAATGTAGCCAGACAGACAAAAGGGAAAAAATGTATTGGGGAGCATGTGGTGTGAGTGACAGAGTCCCAGGTACCTGTCTGAAAGATGTTCTGTGAAATATGCAGATATAAAGAAGTGCTTTGTGTTTGTTCCTGGCGTCCTGAAGCATCTCCCTGACAGATGGTTTTACTGTCATTTCACCTGCCTCCACAGGTATGACTACATCGAGATCCGAGATGGGGACAGTGAAGCAGCAGACCTGCTGGGCAAGCACTGTGGGAACATAGCACCTCCTACCATCATCTCTTCTGGCCCCTCTCTCTATATCAAGTTCACCTCGGACTATGCACGGCAAGGGGCCGGCTTCTCCCTGCGCTACGAGATCTACAAGACAGGTGAGTGTCTGAGTCAGTGCCTGTCTCCCAGGCTGTTTGCCACAATGATCTTCACAAGGAGATGTCTTTGGCCACCTTTTCAATATGATTTTTAGCATTGTCTCCAGAGATAAAGGGAGCTTTTTCTTTTTTTTTTGTTTAAGCCAGTCTGTTGCATCACATTTCGAAGAGCACACATTTCAAAAAGCATTTTTGCTTTGTGAAAACAAAATTCAAAACATTCAAAATTCAAAACATTCAAAATTCAAAACATTCAAAATTCAAAAACATTCAAAAAAATTCAAAACATTCAAAATTCAAAAAACAAAAACATTTCAAAAGCAGGGTTCCTCGTTAAATGCTCTCTTGTATTTGAGGACTAGAAATGTGTATCTTTTTTCCCTGGCACGTGTGGAGCTTGTTAGGGCTAAGTGGGGATTGTCCCTCAGTTAGGAGCGCATGGAGCTCCCCCTCCTGTGGAGCTGTGATTCAGGGCTGATCAATGACGCTGTGTTTTCTCTCCCTGAAAGCAGGGTTTGTAACTGGGGAGCTCTGGTTTTCAAGGGACTGCTGTCAGCAGTGCTGTCAAGGGCTGAGGCAGCGCCTTTCCAGGCAGATATGAGAGGAACTATTCGTAATTCTGTTTAACATGGAACTATAACTGAGGAAAGGAGAAGCTGCTCAAAGGCTTTTAATAGTGTTTCTGTCTAAATATTTGCCAGAATTGTGTATCTGGGAAGAAGGAGGCTTGAGAAAATAAAACCCGCTTTGTTGTGTGCGGGTGAGAGGTGTGCCTGTGCGCCGAGGGAACAAGAGTGTGTTCTGCATGGGGATACGGGCACCTACCCAGTGCCCACATTCCTTTGGTGGTGCGTTGGAAGAAAACACATGCAGCTTTCACGTCATCGCATCCAGCACAAGAAAAATGCCCACGCCTGGTGAAGAACCAGAAAGGAGCACAACAGGGTTGCTTATCCAGCCTCTTCAAAGGGAAGGCAGGGAGCACAGGCACCAGTGCCCAAGGGCCCTGGCCCATCTGTGCAGTAGGCAGAGGTGAACAAGCAGCCCACAACCCTGTCACAGGTAGATGTGAATGTGGAGACTCTACTGCAGGCGGATAGGAATGGGACTCCCCAGATTCATTGTGAAATAGCGTGGACAGCAGGTGTCTGGAGGTTCAGGTGGATGAGGAGAATGCTGTTGCTGGTGGTTGCCTGGGCTGTATAACTGGCCATTGAGCTGTTGTGGAGCCAGCTCACCGATGCTGTTTGTTAGTGGTTAGGATACAGATTAGTCCTGAAAGAGTTTAGTGGTTTGTCCAGCTGTTGGGGTTTGCTGAAGCCAGTTGCCAGCACGGAGGATGGCAAAGAATGCCTGTGTTCAGGTGGGAAGACTGCTGACCCACCTCATCCTCCCTTGCCCCTTTCTCCCTGCACACACCTCCTCTGAGCCCAGCAGACTCAGCTGGGTTGTGCCTGTCCCCACATCGGGTCCACGCCCTGAGCCAGGGCACGGGGCAGTGTGGAGGGGTCCAGCTGGCTGAGGTGGTCAGGCCAGGCTGAGTGTGGCTGTGGGAAGAGATGGCAGGCAGGAGCCCTGTCTGCCTGGGTGGGAGCCAGCAAGGGGCCAAACTCATGGGAAGAGGAGATTTTGTTGCTGCTGGGCAGAAGAGAGAGGAAGCAAAGGCTGCTCTGGGAGGGCAGATGCTGGATGGAGGCTGGAGCTGGGTTTGTGTCCCTCTGTGTAGGTCCCTGCAGAGCTGCTGTCAGGTCTGAAGTGGTGTTGGGGCTCCTTTTGCCACCCCCCCTACCCTCCTCCGGCAGCCATCCTCTCCAGAAATAGCCATGCTTTCTTCCAGCCACAGCCCATGAAATCCAGTGTGGCAAGGCAGGGTTTCGGACAGGAG